TTCCTATACCGCCTCAGTCCAACCCCCAGAACTCTCTTGCTCAGCTGCTACACTCCTCGAATACACATCAATTTGGGTCACTCGACTCTGGAGCGTCGTCTATAATGACAGTCGGATGCCTCGGCAGGTGCTTCAATTTCCCACACTTAACAACGGGTCTGAGTCGTCTTGTTTGCAAATGGCTAGCGGTACCTGTTCAATACAGAACTACGGCAAGGCCTTCTTCGCGATGCCAACAGTTAGAGGCAATATGACCGATCTTGTTGCAGATTTGGCAGATCGGTCGAGTGCTGGTGTTGCTGCTGGGTGGGAGAGCTGGATCCACTGTAGTCGTCGGACGGGAGCCGTTGTTCCGAGATTTGTTGAAACGCCTATTGTTCTTGTTTCTGGACTGATTAGTGGAGGTAACATGATACGCAACAGTAGTAGAAAGCTGGTCTTTCTTGATGTCCTGATTGATATGGATTTCCTCTGTAATGAGGAGAGAGTAAAGAGCGTCCAAATCGGCCGGAAGGGAAGAAGACCGTATGTAAGTTTTGAACGAATTGTATGAGGGCGGGAGTCCATTTAGTATGTACAGAACGATGTCTTCTGGATCAACCTTGGTGCCAGATGCCGCAATATTATCTACGATGGTCTTGACCTGAGCCAAGTACTGCTGCATCGTAAGATTGTTCATCTGGATGTGATGCAACTCGTTCTTGAGTTGAATGATGCGGGAGCGACTGGAGGACTGCAGCTGACGTTCAAGAACGGTCCAGACTTCATGAGCCGTGGCAGAGGTAATGACGTAGGGAAGGATGGCCGGTGAGATCGACGAAAAGAGAGCGGAAATCAGGTTGTTGTCGATGAGCCGCCAGTTGGCATGATCGACAGAGGTCGTGTCGGTAGGCGGAAGCGCTTTGCCTGTAAGATGGTCGGCGTAACCTTTAGAAGACAAGTGCTGAAAGATCTGAGTACGCCAGATGGCGTAGTTGTCAGCGGTGAGAGGATTCGGGATCAGATTCTTGATGTTCGAGATAATGAATTTCAATGTCGCCGGAAGAACAAGCTCTTGGCGTTGTGTAGAAACGAGTGTGGAGGAAGCGGGTGGGAGGGTAGAAGACGATTCTTGATCCCCCATGATTGGCTCACTGATACCATGAAAGAGGAGAAGGATTGAGGCCAAGGAAGAAGACAGAGCGGGATGAAGGAAATATTAAAGAGGGAAAATTATGTTCAAATCTTGTAACAGATACAATGGTTAAATAGAGAAATAAGAAAATAATGTACTGCAGGTACAGGTTAAGTAAAGCTAATCCTAACTAATCCTTTATATGCCAAAAAGAGAGAAAATAACCTAAAGAGTCTAAGATACCGCCTAATTACAAAATTGATCGAATACGAAAAAACCTAGAACTAGGGATGCTAGGATCCATCACCTAAAAAGAGATATCTTGAAGAGTATTAGCCATGAATAGTACCAATCTCTGCAAAAAAGAAAAATAAATTGCACAAAGACAAAGCAAGAGAAACCACAAATAGCAAAAAACCCAACCAGCAGGGAGAGAGACATAACCCAGATGAAATTGTACGAACACACAACACCAATTAAAAAACAATAGTGAAGCACAAACCAAACGAGGACCGAATAGTTTGAAAGGAAATGACCGCCGGCGATGGAACAATTCCATCAGCTTGAAAGGAAGAAATGACCGCCGGCGATGGCCTTTGATCAATCGCCGCCATAGCGAATCTCCCAAAGGACGACGTTGAACCACCTGCAAATAGTACTCTAATGGAACTTAAAAAAAAATCTCTCACTAGAAACCAGGACTCTCTCTCTCTCTTACTAGTAACAACCATCAATCTTCTTGTAATGACGACATGTTCTTATTGCTAAATTCCAAAAGGTATTTGCTAAATACATGATAAAGTATATGACAGTGTATAGTTCTTTTTTCAAAATGTTTAATTCGGTTAAATTAAATTCATTTACATATTATTTATAAATATAACTTATCAAATTTATCATTAAATATTTCTGGTACCATTTCCATGGATGTTTTTGTAATTTCTATGGAATTCAATCTGGCTTTATTTGTCCAAAAAAAACTCTTTCAAAATATTCTCCAAAGCATTAAATTCTTGGTATTATAAAAATGAACTGCGGTCACAAATGTAATTTTTAATACAGTTGCTATGATTTCTTACAAGAAATAATATTAATTTAGTTTCCATATTCTAGGTTTATAAATATATTTATATTAAGATATTAGTTTTCCATATAATTGATCAAAAAATATCAATCAAACAAAAAATACTTTACATATATCATCGCCCATTAAACATTATCGTTGTCTACCACAATGACCACTTTTCAACATTGAGTTATATTCTAACAATTATAATCTGCAATTATCTTCTAAATTTGAAATAAAATTTAAAATTTTAATGGAATTCTAAGAATTTGGGGAGTAATATGATAAAGGGTTGAGGAGGAATGATGCGAGGGGAAAATTTATTGTACCACAGGAATTGTGCTGCTAATAAGAAGGTTGAGGAAGAAATAAAAGTCAAATATCTTTTCTGTACAAATCAATTTATTAGTTTAGTTGTTTTTTTATGTTTATTTTTACTGCAGTTATCATGATACAAGGATTTCATCATGAAGCAAATATTTTAAAAAAATTCGCCCATTATTCTTATCATCTCTTTAAGTAAATAATATAATAATAATAATAAAAATATGGATATTTTTCTATTTTTAAAATTTCTATGTTGTTACATCGATATGGAAATAATTGATTACAGTTATGACTGCCTAAATTTGGAAAAAACTTATCTTTAATTTTATAATTCAAATATGAAGCATATATCATTTCTTTTATCAAAATTATATTATGCCATCAACATCTTCAATTAAAAGCACGGCAATTAAAAATAATATCAATTATTTAAAAGTAATTATTAGGATTTATTCTTTTTCCAAAGAGGGATGACAAAAAATTTAACCACAAAATCTTTTGTGGTTTATCCTCTCCATTCTCTCCTTATTCCAATAAATATTCAAAAAATAAATATGGCAGTTACTTAAAGTATAATTATACGTGAGATATCTACAATTAATATAATAAAAATAATAGTTCTAAGCTATAACCAATTGGACTCTTGGTATAAATAAGAACAGGCGTTGGGCACTATACTCCAAGTTCTCTAACTGTAGAAGCAACTCTATTATACTTGAATAAGGATACCTAACAAGATGTCGAAGAAGATAAAACTGAAGGGCTCTGATGGGAAGAGAGTAGTAGTGGAAGAGGAGGTGGCCATGATGTCTGAGACCCTCCGTCACATAATTGAAGATAACCTTGCAAGAAATGTCATTCCCATATCCAATGTAACTTCCACGGTGCTCTCTTATGTATTCCAATATTGCAAGAGACACCTCAATATGGATGATCTTGAGGATGATCTTGAGGAGTTTGATAACGAATTTGTCGATGTTGACGTGAACACCCTTTACGATCTCCTCATGGTAATATACCAAGTTCTCATGCTTTTCTTATGTCATCCTTTATATATTTAATATAGATTTTTATTCTTTTTTAAATATTGTTTTGTTAGGCAGCAAATTATTTGAACGTGAAAGACTTGCTATATTTGGTTTGCCGAAAAGTAGCGGATTTGATCAGAGGGAAAACCCCAGAGGAAATTCGTCTGACATTCAACATTGAAAATGATCTCACGCCTGAACAAGAGGAAGAGATAAGACAGGAACACTCGTGGGCCTTCGACTAAATAGCAAGTTGACACTAAAAGTTTTAATAAAAACATTCTGGTTTTACTTCACTTGAAATCCATGTATTCTAAAGTATATGTAGTCTTTGCAGTGCTTGTGTAGTCAATCATAAGCATCTTGTTTGCTGAAATTCTTAATAAATGGGTGCTTGCTATTCTAACGTAATAATTCAAAATAATGTCTACTTGAAATATTGCCGATTTTTAACGATTTTTAAGAATGGGTCGTCAGAGTGAATTATAAAGTATCATTGAATTTTCTTTTATATAGGGAGAGTTTTGAAATTATGTTGAGTTTGATATTTATTTGATTACCTATAACTTGATTGTACGACTCATGAGACACTTTCTCCCTAAAATGAAAAATGAACTTCTGTTGAAGGGAATTAAATTTAGCCCATACAAGTATCTCCCCAAACTTTCTCTTCTTCAAAAGTAAAAATACAATAAAATAAAATAATGATTGAACATTTAATTTATTCTTTCATTAATCATTAAAATCTATTAGTGAGACGAGACAGCGCAATCATTCGAATAAAATGGTCTACAGTGAAATAAAATTCAATCTTATATATAGGTTTTTGTCTAAAGTATTGATGATTTAAAACTTCGAGTCCAAATTGTCCCAAAAAAAGGTTGTATTATTATAATTTTGATTTCGTCCTCCTCTTGAGTAACTGCAAAAATAATTGAGACTTGCATATTTTTTGACTTGCTCCTCCTCAAAGATTGACAAAAAAACTATGCTCAATATATGTATATTTATACAATTCATTTTGACCTAGCTTGGCTTTACAATCTCGAGCAAGTCATAATACAATCAAATTTTTAGTAAATCAACTTGGCCAAGTATTTCCGAGTAGAATTTCTACAATTTGACTAGTATTTATCATAGATTCACAAAACTGATATATGCTAAAAAAATCAACATGATAAATGTATGGAGATGTCACATAGTAAATACCCTACATTTTTTTTTTTGCAACTTTATTATTAAGACATTTTTAATTAATTGTCTTAAATGTAAGTTGGCATTAAATACTTCGCGCTTATTCCACCTCCCCGGCTAGGTACATGCGCGGTTTCTTCCACCATAGAGCGCACGCTGCCGGGAACGATCCTCGGCAAGAATTTCTTCCTCTTCCTCTTGATCGAATGCGTCGGTATTCCCGCACTTGGCTCGCTAAACCTTTCGTCTTCCTCCTGATCGAATGTCGGACTTGGTTCGCGGTTTCTTCCCCTCGACACCATTCCTCTTCCTGCTGATCGAATGCCCGCACTTGGCTTACGGTTTCATCCTTGCGACGCCAAAAACTTTGCACCTGCTTCTTTCTGGGATCGATTGCGTTTGTATGCCGCATCGTTCAAGATATTTTATTCCTTTTAAAAACATATTGCTGCATCGATTCCTCATAATTTCTCCCTCAAGATAGCCTAGTTCCTGCTGAAGACATATTGCTCCACTGATTCCTCGTGATTTTCCCTCGTCTACTGTTGCTTCCAAAGACGATATTGGTGGAAAATCTCTGTGATAGCTATGTTAATTTTTTTTCTTTGTCTTTCTTGTTTTTTTTTTTTTTGGTTTTATTTACATGTTGTTTCTTGTGGAATCTTGAATTCCTCTTATTTGTCCCAAAGCTAGGGTTTTGAGCAAGGCTTTTAAAACCGGACTGGACCAGCCGGTACGTTCAACCGGTTGAACCGCGAACCGGCTGGCCGGTTACGGTTCTCTTTAGAACCGTTTTCGCGTCGAACCTGCCTCGGAACGTTTGAACCGCCGGTTCGACCGTTGAACCAAAAAACCGGCTCTGGTTTCTGATAACCGGACGGTTCAGGCGAAACATGTTTTGTTCCATTGGTTTTAATCCAACGGTAGATGATGCGTTGATACGAAAGCAAAATGAAATCGGAAACCCTACTATTCACTTTTCGTTTGGCTTCTTTAGTTCCTCTCCGTCTGGGCTGCTCTTTCACGACTCTACAGCTCCCCGCCAACTCGTCATCGTTCCTCTTTCGTGAAGCCAACGTGGAACTAAAGCTTCCTTCTCTTGCTCAAGGTCTCGTCTCCGACCGACTGCAAGTTCTTCATGAACTTCTTGCATTCGGTAGTTAGTGGAGGGAAAAATCATGTCACCACGCAGATTTTGATTTCTCCTATTTTGTAATTGAATACTGCATTGAGAGTAAAGTACGGTCTCGAGAGACCGACACAATATTCTAAAATGGATTCAATATCAAAATAGAGTTTTGAAAATTGATTATTTCTATAATCAAACATAATTCAAAGAATAACATATCATCTCAAAAGATGAATATGAAATTCTATAGAATATATTTAAAAATAGAAATACGTTTTTTTTTTGAAAAAAGTTTATTCATTCTTTTATTTAGATATGGCATGAAAAATATTATATCATCTTAAAAGACGAATATAACATTCTTCAAGATATCCAAAAGCGAGAATGAGTTTTATAAAATTCATTATTTCTAAAGTTGAATATAACAAGCATAATATTATATTATCTGAAAAGATAATAATAACATTCTACAAGTCTATTCAAAATTAGAAATAATGTTTTAAAAATATCTACGTTCCCAAAGATTCTTCCCTTGTTTTATATAAATAAAACAAGGTTTATTTTAGTCTGGGGTTCTCAAATCCCTATAGAGGCAAGCCCCTATAGTTAATTACATCCTAAGAGGAATACTCCTAAGAAAACTCTCGATTAAAGCAGTGATTTCATACCCTTTTGAGTACAAAGTAAAAGACAAAAAAAAAACAGAAGTAGGAATTTTTCAAGGAGAAAGCTCAATGTTGAACATTTATTAGCGGGTCAAAGGAAGAAAAGTAGGAGATGTCGGATTCTGAGAAGCTCAGAGACAACCTCAGCCTACCCTATGTTAGGCTTTACATTTTAGGAGAAAATTTTATGTTTAAATTGACATTTTATTAAAAATTTGGGATTATATTCCC